GTACTGTCCATGAACGGGTTAAGAAAACTAATGTTATAAGTAATTACAAATATGTGTGTGTGACTAACGTATGTAGGTACTGACGAGCATTTTTTAAATGCTTTTTCCTGGGGCCTTAGTGTAAGTTTTCAAATACGTAAATTTAACTATCGCGTTTTGCGTTAAGATTTTCATTTAAACCTTATAAGTACTTAATTAAGTTTTAAATAAAAATCTTGACGCAAACGCGGCAGTTAAGCTTGAATGATTACAAATTTACACTAAGGCCTGATTTGTAAATATATTTTTCACTTCACATGCTTTTAAAGTTCGTATCTATGCTGGGTGTAGGCTGCATTAATAGGATTCTATGCTCTAGTGTACGCACACCAGAACTTTATAAAATAAAGTTTTTTATATTTTTTTAATCCGTGTTATATTACAAAGTTAATAAAAGTAGGTAATATTAATAAGCTATAAGAAATAAAAATGCATTAAAAATAAAAGCTTGTAAAATATAACTGCGCATTATGTAGTCTGAGCTGAGCCAAGTGTCACGCGTAGAAAAAACAAAAAAAAAAAATTATTTATTTGCAATATTGCTGTTTAATTTCCTCGCAATCGAAGTGAAAAGCAGAGTGTATAATTTGTTCATAAAATCCATTCTACCCTCGACTTAACTATTTACGTGGTATCATACGTCTCGGGCACAATGGCGCGTTTTATGCACTTGTTGTTACAATTTACTATTCTTCAACGGATGTTGTACGTATTTACTTACATTTCAGCGATATGACTTAAGCTAGCTTCTAGCACTGAATCGAAGGCGTTGGTCGCACCGCTGTAAGTTTCGCTGACCGCTCCCGCGCATGCCCATGCTATGTAACCACCATCGTTTACCCGCGGCGACAGGGTGTCTAGTATCTGGGAACAATTTTGATTGCACGGCTTTTTTAATTCGTAGTAGCTAAGAAGAAAAGAAAAATCTTTGCAACTGTAATTCACTAGATATAAGGTAGACAAATGTCGTCATTTTTTATTTCGAGACGGGACGAACAAGTCGTGCGCCTGATGGTAAGCTACACGCCTGTCCATAACAGTTGCAGCAAAGATCTGTGGGGCACTGCCACTGCGCCCATCACCCTGAGACATAAGTTGACAAATCCCACGTGCCTGTAATTTCACCAGCACCCATACCCTTAAAAACCGGAACATAATAATGCTGACATTACTGCGTGGCGGCAGAAATAGTGGCAGTACTTCCCTGGACGAATTAGTCTTATATAGTCTTACCCTTGACGCTACTCTTGCACTATTAGTAATGCTATAGACAAGTTTATTTACCATTGCAACTACGAGTAGGTATGTTAGCATAGTCTACTAGGGTGTTAGTTTCAATTTGTAACTACCATTTTATGTTTATCGAGTACCACGTTTTGTGTTTTGAGCCTGCTCGCTTGCGACTCCGCTACTACGATCACGAGCGCATCCACTTAGTCCGCTCCCACTCGTCACTCCTCCTATCACTGTGGTTCATTACAAATCTAGTTGTTTCTTCAGCTCACTGCCTCGTGCATTTGTGCTACTGCCTAGTGAAATTACTCCACTAATCCAATTAAAAATTCCTTCGATCCGGCTGGATTCGAACCAGTTTCTTCAGCATGCCGTGCTTGATAGCTCTCCCAATTGAGCTTTGGAACGAACTAGCAGACTACGAATTTTCCTGTGCTTGTTACAGACCTTTGTTTCTGTTGTTTAATGATTTTTTTGCTGTAGTGACATGTGTGAGAAATCTAAGAAAGTTTTTCGTAGTTACCATGATAACCAAAAATATACTTTAAAGTTTTTTATATCGAGTTCTTAGGTTTTCGCGATTGTCACTCATAGGAAATGAAACTATTTTTCCGGATTTAAATCGCGTATATTTGTTTTTCCAAACAAACCGACGTTTCGGGCCCTTTACAGGTCCCATGGTCACGGTTGACTGAAATAATGGTACAGTCTTCAACCAGTTATGTCTAATATTGATGCAAATCACAAGTAAGTTTTAAGTTTTTTGTTGTGCTACTGATTTTATTAGTAGTAAGTTCAAATGTGCAAGCATTCTCCTCGACAGCGACAAGCCTCTCTCCGCTCCTGTGTTTTGCACCGGAATGGACGCTTTATATTGTTACCGCGATCTAGTTAAATATATTTATTTTTGTATGAAACTTATATCTGATGAATTATGTAAAGTCACGGAACAAAAGTTGTTGTTTATGATGTTTGTAATATAGTTCCGAGGTTGTTAGTATTTTACAAATAATCCTGAATACGGGTACCGATATTGTTATACAATAAAAAAAATGAATACTCACTGAAATGCAATTTGAAGTAAATATTTTAATATATATTTTTAATATGGTAAATTATACCTTCATATTCTCGTAAATATCTTGAGAAACCAGTTCCGCCATGCCATCGAGCCCGCTCGCTCGTGACTCCGCTCCTACGACCACGAGCGCATCCACTTTGTCCGCTCCCGCTCCGTTTGTCGCTCCTTCTATCACTGTGGTTCCTAACAATTGTAGTTGTTTTTTCAGCTCACTGCCTAATGCATTTGTTGTGTTTGTTATCTGTAATATAGTTAATAATATTTAATTCAAGCTATTTGAGAGTAGGGCCCCAACTTCGCATAATACGAGCTGACATAGTAAACGCAAGACTCAAAATGCTTTTGAAATTTTAATAAATACACTCATCGAGATAAAATGCTTAGATAAAGTAAACGCTTTTCGCCGTGAGTACTTAAGTAAGAACAAAGTTATGTATGAAGATAGCGTAAAGATTTCAATGAATAAATGTTTTCAATAAACTTACTAGAACGCTATGGACATCTCTGCCTTGGCGAGTTGGCAGTCTTTTCTTCCGAGCCAGTTTCCTCCTGGCGGTGTAAGCCAGCAGGGCTGTGGTGACCAGCACGAGCGACCCTCCTTCCAGCGTGGCTAGAAGCCGCCAGGCCAGTGACGACCCGCCTTCCATTGCTTCTGCCATTTCTATCTGTAACAAATTGAACATTTAGTTGTACGACAGATAAAATATAATGCCTTTCTTATTATAACCACGGACCAATAACTAAAAAGGACTGATAATCTCTATACTAAATTAAATTACATTAAATAGGACTTTATTCATCAAACACACATATGTACATAGAACATTACACTGAGTATGAGTGTTGAAAAGGACGAAGCCTCAGCATAGTGCCGTTTTTCAGTCTCCGCCTGTGTTCTCTGTCGGACATTGTCGGATAATAAATCATTTTGAACAAAAGGACTACAACAAAACAAACATCATGAATTTAACTTAAATCTAACTAAAATCTAACAATTTATTTACTGGTTACAAGTGATAATAATACGCATATCAAGCAAAATCAAACAAATCTAATCAGGACGACAAAGGGTACAAATGACTCTTATCAGACTATACGGATTACTATTCCACAACCGACCAGGAACATGACGACTTTTGTTGCAAAATAAGCATTCCTTGCATTTTCGTTTGAATGTATAAATACTACAGATCGTAACTCTGAAAAAGGTCGAAATTTCGTCTTATACGTGGCACTATCAGTTTCTAGAATGAACAAGAAAAAATACTATAAATAGTCAATACTATGAATTTATTGTTTCTCAAAATATTCTCCATTAGCGTTAATGCACTTTTTCATACGAATGCACCAATTTTGAAAACATTTATGCCACTCCTCCGCGACAATCCCTGAAACATATTTTTCATGCTCTTCACAGCCTCTTCAGGTGTTGGAAATAGTTGTCCGCGTGACTGATTCTTAATTTTTGGAAATAAATAAAAGTCACAAGGTGCCAGGTCGGGACTGCACGCAGGATGACTCATAAGGTCAACATTGTTCACCTTCAAAAATTCATTTGTCTGTCTGGCCGTGTGAGAACTGGCATTATCGTGGTGCAAGATGATACGGCGTTTATGGTTATTTTTACGGAGTTTGTTAATAACTTCCGGCAAACAAATGGTCGTGTACCAATCACTATTCATGGTACAACGATTCTCCAAAGCAACAGTAGCCACGTGTCCAGTTTTATTAAAAAAAGAAGCAATCATCCGCTTAGAGGTACTTTGCACGCGCGCAACTTTGATTGGTTTTGGGCTCATCTCGAAAGACCCATACGCTCGATTGCTGCTTTGTTTTGGCATCGTAACTATAAATCCATGTATCGTCACCTGTTACTATGTTCACCACCAAATTTGACGCCCCTTCGTTGAATCTGGTAAGCATGGCATTGCATCAAGTGACGCGATCCGTTTTTTGAGCCTCAGTCAAGTTGTCTGGGATCCACCGAGAGCACAGCTTTTTCACACCTAAATGTTTGTGTAGTATTGATTGTATTTAACTCATGCCTATGCCTAAAGATGCCCGAATCTCATGGTATATCACATGCTTGTCTGTTTTGATCATACGGCTCACAGCATCGATGTTTTTGTTGTTCACAGCAGTGGACGGGCGACCATCACGAAATTCGTCACTGAGATTTACACGTCCACGTTTGAATTCTGCAAACCAGCTATAAATAGTCGTCTTGCATGGTGCTTTATCGCCAAAAGCAGTTTGAAGCCGAGAGAAGCTCCGCTGAGCTGTTAAATTACACTTAAAGTCGTAGAAAATCATCCTACAAAAATTTTCATGATTTAAATCCATGGTGATGTAGACAATCAATTTCTAAAATTACGCCACAATGTAAAAACAAGTGACAGTCAGATGAAACAAACTGTATACATACAGCCACAGAGTTCCATTTTAAAATGTTGTAATTACTTTTTAAATATTGTTTGTGTAAGTGGCCAGTTCCGGAAACTTATAGTGCGCCCTATGTATGTATAAGGCGCTGATATATTATGTAATGGCCGTGGACAGTTCATATGAAATAGAAATAGTTCTTTTTTCTTCGAAATATTGTTCAAATATTGACCATGAGCTTCAATCATTTTCTGAACTTTGACAAAAATGCGTCATCAATAGATGGCATTGTATGTTACTAATTTATAAATGATTACCGCTTGCTAATAGGTAGATGGCGCTAATCCTAAACAAAATAAAAGAATAGCCGGCGCTATCGGTAAACAGCTGTGAAATAAGCGCCATCTAATTAATTTGTTTGTTATTACTAAAAATTTGTGAAATAAATTTGTTACAAAAATTGGCTATTTGGTACTCGTCGCGACATCTCGTGTACAGTCAAGAGCACGTCAAGCTTGACACTTTGTACTTTGGACCGTTCTTATCGTAAGCAGCATAGAGTTGGATTTAAATCTTAAGTGTCAAGCTTGACGTGCTCTTGACCCTGTACAAAACCAATTATATACGAATATACCCGACTACGCTGGCTTATATCGCGATTAGCAGTCTTTTTGAGTTACTGGTCCTCGTCATAACTAGTGTAACTACAGTTGGTAAATCTCCGAAAAATTTAAAATAGTTGAAATTATACCGGAAAAATTCCCGAACAATTGGAGAAAATTTCGAAGTCTCATATTATGTTCTACGTTTAGAAATATCTTTTGAAGTTTTATTTAGCGTGAATTATAAAATAAACTTATAGAAAAATATTAATAGAAAAATAAGATTTAATATGATTTCACAACAACGAAACAACCTCCAACAACCACACCACTACCACTTAGTCTTGTCTGTTGTTGGCTCCAACGTTTTCGTTCAGTAATTTCTATTTTTGACAGGCGTCAACGTTAAATGTGGCAAATCTTAGGAAACATATTTGGAAAAATATAATTTTTCAAAATGGAAATTTATCCGTGACCCAACACTAAATGTAATCGATATTTTAGCAAAATTGAATTATTACATATCTGGGATTAGCGAAACGAGATTTATAAAATGACTAACTGACTAACTCAAAAAGGTTTTGATTATCTTATTTAGTACCAGTCTTAGGGCCGTATTCCAGAACTCTACTCATTACTCAAGTAAGTACTTGAGTATTGCAGTGAGCACTGAAAATCATACTCAAGTCCTTGCCATTAGGGTCGTATTTCCAGTGCTTCAAGCCATACTCAAGTGCTCAAATCCTGTCTTGAGCATTGAGTACAGTTCTGGAATACGAACCTGTACTAGTATTATTGTTCAGCAAAATCAGCGTAATTGACATTTTTTAGGTGACAATAAAACTTTAGGTGTTAGTATGTCGAAAGTTATCGAAATGCCAATGTTTTAGTTATGACAAGGAGGGAAGTATGATACGACATCTCCAATATCGTACTTTGCATAGCGTAGTAGTAGAGAAAGTTAACCCCGTTAAGGCTTAGGTACTCCATAGCTCATGTGATCAGCCCACAAAGAACAAGAATGTTTTTTATGATTTATACAAAGATCGAACACAGAAATATTTCTTCGACCCGGTGGGGCTTGAATTGAACCCATGCTGCACCGTAGCATTGCTCTTACTTACTTACTGAGCCACAAGTTACCAAGTTGTCGAAATTCTCCTGTGTTTTTGTTATAGATCTTTGTTGGCTTTAGGCATTCGTCGCCGCTTTTGTGTGGGTCAAGTCCCACTAATGGAATTATTTCACAAAAAAATCTCAATAACACAAGAACATTTTTTTTTCTAAGTTTTGCTTTCCAGATGCCTTACTTTCATGATTGTAGAATATAGTTTCTTAAGGTCTATCCTGACGTGTCATTTTAACACGAAATACGTAATAGGTTATTGTGGCCAAAATAAGGGTTGAGAAATAGAATGTGCTGCAACAACCGACAACTGTAATAACTCGCTGGTGACATAACACCTTAAACGTTAGATATAATAAAAATAAACTAAATAGTCGTGCCCCAAAAGTTTATGGAAGTCTGCGGCGGCGAGGTTGCTTCATGCGATACCGTTGCCGGCAGAAATTAAAAAAAGTTGCGTCCACGTTGCTTACGAAACTATGGACTACCTGCATAAGTAGAGTTGTTTATACGTGCTTTTTATTTTCTTTAACAATGGTTGCTAAGTACTTAGTAGCACGCTACTTAGTAGCAAGTAAAAACGAAATATCATTTTCACCGTTCGTCTTTCGAGTACACAATAGGACAAAAGAGAGCCGTCTCGGTAACGCACGTGCCATCTGTATAGTGCAAACAACTAGTTTAATCACTTTACGCACTGGCATTTAATTCGAAATTTGATATTCTTTATGCGGAACTAACTTTGCTAAATTAGTAAGAAAAGAGTTGGTAGAAGCTAATTCGGTAAAAGCGTTTTCTTAAACATGCTCGGAAATGTTTGTATTACTTTCAAAAAACGATCGATGTCATTGACCGTGCGACTTCTTCCCGGCCAAGGCCATCAGAGTAAGTATGAAAATCCAATAATGTCCACTTCTCTAAATTTTTAAATCTATTTAATAGTAATAATGAACTACGTAAACTGGCAAAAGAAAATCCAAACAGCCAACTGCCCAGTGTTCATGATTGCGAGAATTAAAAATACCTACCTGTACTGCTTACTTTTTTTTTAAAAAGAAAACCGGTAAAATAAATTAAAGTACTTGGTATTCTTTTCTGCTTTTTCGTCTTTTTTGTAATATCGTCGAAAAAATTGTTTTAGTAAGAAGAACGATAACGGAAATATAGCAATTGATTGTGCTCTACCTAATTTAAAACAAGAGTAATATTAGCCATGGAATAGCTATGAGCAATGAAAGATACATGAAAATTTACGTCTTTTTACTTTTTTTATTAAAACATCTTTCTCTCTTTGGTCTTTCAGTATTTCCTCACATTGTTTGAGAAAAGTACTATACAAGCCTCGGCCTGAACGGCGATGGCTTGACTCGTATTATTACAAGGCCGAGCGCTAGCTGCAATTCATACTTGTCCAACAATTCCTGACTTCCCGGCCTTTGCAGTAATTTACTATTAACGCATCCGTGACTTGTACGATGGACCAAGATAATTAAATCCATGTAGGTACGCTTTAAGTAAAAGACGTGTTAATTTATTATCCTACTGTAACAG